TGGTAAAATATATAATATAGAGAAGTCAGATGGTGTTAGATAAATATATAAATGTATCTAAACCTGCACAAACACAGAAGATCAGCTCACCCAGTCCGCTGACCTCCTGGCGGAGGTTCAGTCGGTTTCTCTCGTCGGCGATGGCCTTCAGCATCTGCTGGAGAGATCCGTCCAGCTCTCCGTTCTCCTCCTCCGCGGGCCCGACAGCCTTGCACAAACCGGGAAAGGACGCCATCTCCGCGCCGGGACCATGACAGTCCGGGCTAACGGCTACCGACGCCTCCGGTCCACGGGAGCTCCCTGAAGAAGAGCGGAGAATCCCCCCTGGTTCTTCCGCTGATTAAACCGGATCAAAGCCGCCGGTACGCTCTGCTGTGGCCCCGGAAACAAGTGCGGACAGGTCGAGCTGCTGGGGGCGACTCTTACTCTTGCTCTGTTGTCGATCAGCTGGAAACACCCCTCACACTTCCTGTAACAACACGAGGCTTTTAAAGCGACAGAGCACCTCGGTACCGTTCACACACACGCTGACCTCGAACATACACTGGTGTTAGGGAACATTATGTCCCCATCACATTCTGTGACCTGTTAAGAACTTGAATATGCATTTAATATTTTATCAGCCAAATTATATAAAAGCAAATACAAAGCAGTATGGGCTACAATATATTCGCAAATGAGCTCTAACGATTGCTATTACTTTAGAAAATCGCCAAGCTCTTTTCTACAACGGCTGCGCTCTCCTCCGGAGTTTCCCGAGTCACAAATTAGACGCATCCCTGTTAGCTTTGCTGCTACTGCTATGCGGGGAGAGCGAGCACAACAGTCCTGTATGTGGGAGGGGAGAAGGAAATCATTAGCTATGGAAATAAGGAAAATAAATAACTAGTGCATTCGTTTTACTCTTGGCTGACGGTGCGGTTTGGCTCCATAGCCTTCAGTTTCCCCGTTGAGGTCTTACTACATTAACACCCGACTAAACAGCTAGCTAGCTCTTTAAGGTAAAAGTTAACGGAAGTTACGAATGCAACCATATGGTTCTGTGAATTCCCGGATGATTGCCACTGGCAGTGAGGAAGGAAATAGGGCGGCCAACTTAGCTGTCACTGACCTGCTTCTGAACTCTCCGGGTTTCTAACCTTACGTGTTTTAAACAACTGGATAAATGTATTCTATTGATACAAATGTTACAGGAGAGTTTCAGATCGTCGTCGCAACGATGTACCCGCACTAAAGTATTGTGAATTTGCCTCTTTAGTACTTCTTTTAGGGGGTATTTACGTAGCTACGTCCGTTGGATGGAACGTAGGTTTTATGGCAAAGTCTGCGACTCTCAGATTCATTGACTCTACAGAAAGTTAACCGAACGTGGCACTTTGTTTAACCCCAGTCAGCATTATGACTCCGTCGAAATATTAGAGGTACAAATTAACTCGCGACAAAACATGTAGCGGTAGCACAACATCGCTGCAAGTCAAGGTGACGGGATCTAATGGGTAACGGAAATCTGCATAACACCGGTCCTGTAACGAAGAAAACTCCGCCCGCCCAGATGAGCCCTTGTCGCCGGTAGAACGGGGCGTTTAAACGAGCGCACTCTGTATTAAGACAAAAGATTACGTCATTGTGTCAGGAAAATCCAAACCTCACACGAATCTGTTCCAATTGTATACATTATAACACTATACACTTCCTTGTTATGCCACCCTGTATATACTGTCCTACATGTGTATATATACCTAGCGTTGATCATTTTAACTACTACTCTCACCCAACTATGTTAATGCCTCCCTTTATGCATACCATATGAATATACTGTATTTATTACAGTATTTCCTACTATCCTATAGTTATTAGATACAGTATGTATAATACTGCGTAGTATTCCTGATGCTTGGAGTCTTGGCAGCCAAAACATTCAAATAAACCAGCACTAACGAACACCCAGACACAGTTAACAAAGGAGTCATTTAAAACTCTATTGGTAGCAGTTCCTCTCTTTCTGCCACTTTTGCAGATGACTTCAGGTAGCTCCTGTCCGTCCAGGTACGATCCAAACAATGAAGAGACAATGAGTGGTCACTTTGGGACAGTAACATTAGAAAAAATTTGAGTCTTGAGAATGTATGATACCATACAGCAGTGTCATAATTATAAAAAGTAAAAGTTTAACTTTCTAAGTAAATTTTTATAGAAAAACAATTTTTTTTTGTTAATCTTTCATAATTTGACTTGTATTTTTATAATCTCATGTCAGGTGCAAAACGCTGAATTAAATAAAGAATTACGTTTATTGCTATGGACAGATTAACTTGCAGTTTGCTGTACTGTGTAGTTATTTTATTCCACATGTTAATTCAGGAACAAGGTGAGTTTAGGCTACAGCTACAACAAGATTAAATTAAGTATAAGGACAAGATTTTGACACAGCCCCTTGACAAAACATAAGTCTCTCTGCATTTTTCATTTCTAAGCAAATTTGCACTTAATAAAATCACCACAAACAGATCCACAGTGAATCTGCAGCTGCCCTGAAGCCTGAGCCCGTGACATCTGAGCTCTTCTGCTAGATCCATTCTCCAGACCGCATGAGGGTAAAGCGTTACACAACACACACTTGTGTCATCAGATGCTGTAGCATTGCAGAAGTCACTGCAACGACTCCTGAATCAAACAGCTGCTCATCAGATGAATCCTCGCTGGACGTCTGCAGAGCGTCCTCCCATCGGTCGGAATCTGGGGAAGTGGATCACAGGTCGTCCGTCAGGGTTCACAGGAGGGCCAACAGGGTCGTAGCGGGGGCGCGGCAACAGGCTGTGGGGCAGGTTTAGTCTCTGGTCGTACTCCCCCCCGATGATCCCAGGGAGCGGTGGATAGAGGGGGAAGGGCACCTGGCTGAATATGTCGCAAGGGTCTCGATGGAGGGGATGGAGGGAGCGTTGGTGAACAGCATGTGGACGCTCACTGCGGATCTTATAAAACCTCTTGTACAGCTGGAGGGAGACAAACTAATGTCAGCACACATCACAGTGAAACATCTACTGGTTCCAGTTTTCACTGGGACTGTGGGAGGAAATCAGAAAACCTGTCCTCAAAAAAATCAGTACTTCTGTTCTGCCTCCTGGTGGTGATGCTGAAGTCAACACTCACTATTTTCACATTTAGTTTGTAGCTGTAACAGTCAGTCAACTTTGACTAATTAATTAATGGCCATTTTTATGAGTGATTTATCATTTCAAGTAAATGAAATATATGGACTAATGTTTTCTGTGAGGTAAAAAAACCCTTAAAACGTAAGATAAGATTAAGATAAACCTTTTTGTTTTAACTGTGCAAATGATCTCTTGAAGATTATTATGAATACATACATTCGTGGATTATAATTATGAATGGAGTTTCTGGCAGAGAGGAGCTCTTTCAATTCATTTAGCCAATAGATTAATATTGATAGTCACTGTTAGTCACTGCCAGTGTTTGTGTCTGGTATCAGTTCTCACCTCTTTCCAGTCTGTGGACCTGGATCTGTTGGGGTCAGCATCTGAACAACACAGACACAGAGTTTATTCAGGGTGTTTCATCCAGAGGAGAAACAGCTCAGAGCTGCACCACCATCAACCTGCTGCCATGTGAGGCGCTGATCTTTCTGCAGTCTTACGTGTGAAGTCCCGGTGGAACAAGTGTTTCCACAGCGTCGAGTCCGCAGTGGCGATGTTGAAGTGTCTGCAGACGGACGACAGTCTGACCACAGAGCGAACATCCAGCAGCCTGTAAACTCTGAGCAGCAGCTCTGGAGGGAGAGCAGCCAGACCGAACGCCACCGGCAGAGCCATGGCTGGAAGAGACGCCGCAGTCAGAAAACAGAAGCTAATCACTGGACTGAAATAACTGTCAATTAACAATCTGTAAAAAAAAAAAAAGGCAGAACAACTTCACATACTCTTACATATTTATCTGCACAGGAAGCTGCTCAAACGCCCGTTTGATCAGATCTATGACCTTAAACTTATACTGATATATTATGTAATAACACAGATCAATCAATGTGTTTGTGAACACCATAAATCCCACAAATCTTCACACACATTTGTGATAATTTCTGTTTGTAGACCATGCACATGTTTATTACTGAGACTAATTTGTTTCCATAAATTACCAGAAAATAAAACTAATATTAAGAATAATACTAAGTCTGTCTGTGATGATGGCCACATGGTTTTCCTGCTGCATTTTGCTGACTATTAACAAGCAGCTCCAGTGGATGAAAGGGAGGAGGGGACATTTAATTTATTGACCCAGCTCCTCTTGTCATGAACCCTGTCTGAATAACTCCAACATGTCCAGACTCTCAAGCTGCATCCACTGGAGTTGCAGTCAGAATCAGTCTGTACCTTCTCTGGCTGCAGCGATCAGCGGGTACGCCAGCTGGTCTTTGAAGACTCGAGATAGTTTACTCAGATCTCTGAAGGCTGCAGCTGCACTTTCTCCTGAACAACAGTGACAGTGTGTCAGAGCAATTCAGAGAAACTCTGACACTAGTGTGGTGTTAAACCGACCAGTCAGAGCTGTACCTGGCCACTCGTTGGTCACGTAGCTGGATGGATTCAGACACAGTTTGCGAACCGTGTCGAATGCTTCATTCACCTTCAGAGTAGCTGGAGAAAAAAGAAATCACAGAGGAAGAGGAGATCTTAGCTGTTTTCTTCAGGCATCTTTACAAGACACATAGGGCGCCCTTTTGTGTTTGAACTCACCGTTAATTACGAGCATGGGTCCCATGCACACTGCCACCACCATGGTGAGGCTGTTTTCACACAGTGGATGAGTGTACTGAAGTTTGTAGACTCCACCCGCTGACCTCCATCCACCAGGCATCTCCTCAGGCTTCAGCTCCCAGCCCTGAACACACACAGTGCAGATCGAGACACTGATTTTACCATTTACCTGAATCAGATGCATTCACAAAGCGGTAGGAAGCTGGGTGTTGTGTGCGATCCCACCTGAGGAATAAATCCAGTTTCGAGCATCAGGAGGTTTGCAGCCACCATGATGGCATCACTGGGACTGGTGGTGTGAGCTGTGTGGTAGAGGAGCTCCAGAGAGAGAGGAGCCTGACCCTCCCCTGCCTCACTGCACAGCATTGGCTCCCAGCTGGGCACTGGCAGTTCAGAGTGCTGTATCTCAGCGCTCTCCTCAGACTCTGTCAGAGCTGCAGGACCGCTGCTGCAGCTGCCACCGCCACTTGGCTGTTTGACACAGACAGGTGCGAACACAACTGAACTGTTAGGCTCAAACATACAGGGCAAAAACTCTTTAAGCAAGCAGTAGGTATTAGGAAACATTTAAGCCTTTTGTTAAAAAAATGGTGATAAAAAAAAAAACAGCAGACAAACTCTCCATGCTGCAATGTTCCAGTTATCTACAAAGCACGCTGGTACCATTCAAACATGGCAGCCCGCCATGGCAACATCTGTGTTGCTGAGGCAAAAAAGCAATTCAACCAATCAATCATTTAATCAAGCGCCTCAGTGACTCACCCGGAAGCCCAAAAAGCAACAGGTCAAGTCACATACACAGGTGCAGTTAAGGCCAGTTCAGACAGAGGGTGTTTGTAAAACACAACAAATAGAACTCCATCCTATGAATAGAACTCCATCCCCCGACAATCACCACCCTTCCCTCCAGCCCCCCACCTCTAACAATCTGTGAAAAGGATGTGCGTGGCCTCTTTAAAAGACAAAAGATCAGAAAGGCACCAGGCCCAGATGGTGTGACACCTCCTGCTTGAAAGTGTGTGCTGATCAGCTGGCCCCCATCTTCACATTCATCTTCAACAGGTCACTGGAGCTGTATGAAGATCCCTCCTGCTTCAAACGCTCCATCATTCCAGTCCCCAAGAAAACCTCCATCAGTGGACTGAATGACTACAGACCTGTCGCCCTGACATCTGCAGTTATGAAGTGCTTTGATAGATTGGTGTTGGCCCACCTGAAGGACATTGTTGACCCCCTGCTAGACCCCCTGCAGTTTGCCTACCGGGCAAACAGGTCAGTGGACGATGCAGTGAACATGGCACTGCATTACATCCTGCAACACCTCAACTCCCCAGGGACCTATGCATTATGGGCCCTCTTTGTGGCTCCAGCTTGGCATTCAACACCATCATCCTGGACATCCTCCCCTCCAAACTGACCCAGCTCACTGTGCCCGACCCCACCCG